AGTTTTGCTCTTGTCGCCCGGGCTGGAGTGCAGTGGCGTGATCTTGGCTCACTGCAACCTCCGCCTCCCGGGTTCAAGCGATTCTCCTGCCTCAGCCTCCCGAGTAGCTGGGGTTGCAGGCGCCCACCACCACGCCCGTCTAATTTTTTTGTATTTTTAGTAGAGATGGGGTTTCACCATGTTGGCCAGGCTGGTCTTGAACTCCTGACCTTGTGATCCACCCACCTTGGCCTCCTAAAGCGCTAGGATTACACCCACCCCTCTATACTTTTTCCTAAGGAGAGGGTTGTCATAGTTTGTATTCTCCCACCCACCCTAGACAGACTCTGAAAGAAAGATTTGGTTGCAAGACCAGTTCATTTGGGATATGATCCCAAGAAATCCAAGCAGTATAAGGGAGTGAGAGGAAAGCCAAAAGTCCCTTTGAGCTATTGGGGCTGAATCCCACTGGGGAGTCTTAGAAACGCTACTCAAAATGTGGTCTAGGCTGGGCATGGTGGCTCATGCCTGTAATCCCAGCATTTTGGGAGGCTGAGGTGGGTGGATCACCTGAGGTCAGCAGTTGGAGACCAGCCTGACCAGCATGGCGAAACCCCGTCTCTACTAAAAAATACAAAATTAGCTGGGTGTGGTGGCACATGCCTGTAATCCCAGCTACTTGGGAGGATGAGGCAGGAGAACCACTTGAACCCGGGAGGCGAGGTTGCAGTGAGCCGAGGTCATGCGGGCCATTGCACTCCAGCTTGGGCAGCAAGAGTGAAACTCCATCTCAAAAAAAAAAAAAAAAAAAAACCCAAAAATGTGATCCATGGATTAGCAGCAGCATCAGTATTCCCAGGAGCTTGGTTAGAATGCATACTCTTGGGCCCAGGAATCTCTATCTTTTTTCTTTCATTTTTTTTTTTGGAGACAGACTCTCCCCCTCTGTCACTCAGGCTGATGCACAATGATGCAGTCTTGGCTCACTGCAGCCTCAACCTCCCAGGCTCAAGTGATCCTCCCACCTCAGCCTCTGAGGTAGCTGGGACCACAGATGTGTGCCACCATGTTCACAAAGTCTCATCATATTGCCCAGGCTGGTCTCCTGGGCTCAAGTGATCCTTCTGCCTCAACCTCCAAAAGTGCTGTGATTACAAGTGTAAGCCACTGAGCCTGGCTGGAATCTGTGTCATATTAATCTCTCTAGGTGATTATCATATGCTAGAAAATTTTGAGAAACATTACAGTAGAATATGCCTCAGACTGACTCCACTAAGGGGATGAGGAAGTGGAATATTTACCTACCAAATCCCATCTCTCATTGATTGCAGATTGTCTCTTGTAATGTTAACTCCACTAGCACTTCCACACAGAGGTACTCAGGTGTTTGAGGTAAGAAGTTCTGGGCCTTTACAAGATCTGTCTACCAAAGTTGAGTTGAACTCTGGGGTAGTTTGAGGGAATATGGATAGGGCACAGTTAAGATCTGTATAAGCCTTAGCCTTCATCAGATTCTCAGGTTTTAAGTCCGTGAGCCCCTCAAAAGTTTAAGGACTATGTTCCTTTAACAAATATTGTGTGCCTTCCGTATACCAGGTCCTGTATCAGGCAAAAGTAGTACAAAGACAAATAACTTTTCTGTAACAAAGAGCTTTCAGTCAACCATAAAATAATTAAAAGCCTTCTCGTAGGGCAGGTGTGGTGGCTCACACCTGTAATCCTAGCACTTTGGGAGGCCCAGGTGGGCAGGTCACTTGAAGCCAGAAATTCGAGACCAGCCTGGCCAACATGGCGAAACCCTGTCTCTACTAAAAATGCAAAAAAAATAGTTGGGCACAGTGGCACGCAACTGTAATCCCAGCTACTTTGGAAGCTGAGGCAAAAGAATTGCTTGAAACCGGGAGGTGGAGGTTGTATTGAGCTGAGATCATGCCACTGAACTCCAGCCTGGGTGAAAGAGTGAGACCTTGTCTCAAAACAAACAAACAAACAAACAAAAAAAATCTCTCTCTCTCTCTCTCTATATATATATGCCTTCTCTTAAAGTTGGAGAAAAAAATGTCTGGAGTCTGCTGGTCAACAACTTTGAAAACCTGGAAATAATTATTTTAAGCTCAGAATGTCTAAAATTTTAACTATAATAAAAAATCATGATATCAGCTTATTAATTTACAGGGAGCCCAGGATGGCTGTAAAATTACCTCCTCAGTAGGAAATTCTACTTAGAAGTTAAATTATAATCCTAAATTGCAATGGTGGCTTAAAGTGCACACACTTGTACAGGACCCAGCAAGAAATCTGGTCAGATTTTCAAGGTTTGCCATCCCTTTGCCTAGTTACTACTCTTCTGTTAAAATACCCTTTCTACAAGAATTAGCCAGGTGTAGTGGTAGGTGTCTGTAGTCCCAGTTACTTGGGAGGTGAAGTGGGAGGATCGCTTGAATGGGAGAGGTGGAAGTTGTAGTGAGCTGAGATCATGAATGGCAGAGAGACCTTGTCTCAAAAAAATGAAAAACAAAACAAAATCCTTGCGATTCAGACATTTGAATACCATGGTTCACTGAGGCAGTACATTGGCCACAGAGTTAGCTGTGTGTCCTGCTCAGACATCTTGTTTGGTATCACTGTGTTTTAAAATTCAGGAAAAGTGGCTCTTTTAGATAGGAGTTTGTAGTCTCCAGTGGGTCCTAGTCCCTATGTCAGGTCATCTTTGTTACTTGCCCAGCCTCTGCAGCCATTTGAGTTAGCAATTTCAAGGGTTTCTTTTACATACACCACACACCCATGATACCACCCCCCAGTCATCCAGAGTGCTCATTCATTACTCTAGAGTCTAGGTCTGCGCTGTCCGATACTGTCATCACTAGTTGCATGTGGCTTTTGAGCTCTTAAAATGCTCCCAGTCCTTAATGAGATGTGCTCCAAGTATAAACACCAAATTTTGAAAACTTAGTACGAAAAAAAGAATGTAAGCTATCTTGTTAATAACATTGGTTATATGTTGAAATATTTTTTTCTCTCTCTTACACTCTCTTTCTTGAGGCAGAGTCTTGCTATGTTTGTTGGAGTGCAGTGGTGTGATCATAGCTCACTGCAACCCCCACCTCCCAGCTCAAGGGATTCTCCCACCTTATCCTCCCGAGTTGCTGGGACTACAGGCACGCCACTACGCCCGGCTCATTTTTTTTTTTTTTTGAGACGAAGTCTCGCTCTGTCGCCA